AATAACTTGTTCTTCTTTACTTCCAAAAACTGTACATTTAATGATATTTTACTGTAAAATTTCATCATATGACACGGAATCAATCTGTTAACCAATTAGTTTTTCACCGTAGCATTTTACCATAGTCTTTTACTGTTAAAATCACGATAGTTTTTTAGTGTACAACATAACCATATTATGTCATTTATTCTAGATAGAATAAAATAAGCATTATTATATAATAAAAAGTCTAATCTCAGACATCAGTATACCAGACATCAATTGTTGAGTGTGATTTCATAGTGGAATTACCGCTCTTTTTCCATCTCAGCTTAGTGTGTCATCCTCCCAGTGTGCTGTCTGACAGGCCTGTGTGCTGAACACTGTGAAAACACTCAGAGCACTAATGCGAACCACATGTCATATCTCGAAATTCCCAGAATTCCCACTAGTAAGGTCACTTAGCTAGTCAATTGTCCTGCAAAATCGGTCCCTCATTCAGCATTCCCCATTTACTGCCCATTCATGCAATACACACAGTAACATCTTTGATGGATTGACGACTTACGAGGGCCCCGCAGAAGGGGGTTCTTGACCCGTGGGTTCAACCTGGCCCTCTGCGTCAGAGCTGACCAGTAACTGAACCCTCAAGTGCTAAACCACTGATTAATTCAACCAGAACTGACATTAGACCTTCCAAGGAATATGTGGAGGAGGACGGTCTTAATCCTCACATGGTTTCTGCAGTGGTCTGATAATTGGTTGATGTAACAAATATATGTGACCTTATTTCACAAAACATCACAGAAGTATTTATGCCATTACAGTTTGGTCTGACAGAGGAGAAAGGGGAATTTCTAGGTCACTGAATCACAGTCTAAGGAACATTTTTACACAGATAATGAGACACTATGGAATATTATTCAGTCAAGTGACAACACTATGATACATAAGGTGAAAAGATGTTGAAATTTACAGGAATAGCTATATTGAAAACGGGTTAGAATGCGGTGTAATGTGTGTTAAAGTTATAAATGTCAGTTCTGTGACTGTTGGAAGTCTGATAATAATTCCAGAGGTAGTCGTTGATTTTAACATTAACTGGAGCTTAAACCCACAGAGCCATAAAAACAGAGACCTGTTTTAAAGGATGGTTTGAGAGGGCCTTGTATGCATATTTGTAGTCTGAGATCAACTTGGCCCATCGTCCTATAAAACTACGTAGACTGTGTCAAATGTTTCTTATTTGGAAAAAATCTATTTAATAAATTTGGTTCTCTTTGCTGTTTTCAGCATTTTTTTTTTTTTAAATCTTTAAACAAAGATAATGATCTGGCATTTAGTCACATTTGTCAGTCAGAAATTCATCACTGTTTCAAACACACCAAATTGATTCATCTGATTTCTTTAGGAAACATGACACACAATTATGCCATTTAAAAAAAAAAGTCCAAAATGATAATCAGAATGGTTAAAGTATAAAGTTAACGATTCCTAAAAGTTATTTAAACTTGTACAATGTATTGTAGCCAGATTTATTGAACATTAAATAATATACAGTCGGCTATTTAACTTAAAAATACTCAAAACCAGTTAAAGCCACAAGTGATTATTTGCAAAACCATTTTTATATTTTATTGAACTTTAAGTCTTTGAAAAACATTTAATATGTGTCAATTAAAAAACATAAACCTATTCCTGATTATTGTACTATTTCCATGTGTATTAATTTGTTCAAGAATTATTTTTGAAAACAAAAGTTTGTTAAACAAAAAATAACTTTTTACCTATAGTGTTAAGTGTTACCAGTAAAGGCAACACTTTGCTTATGCAACATGTCTTGCTTTGTTTTTTATGAAATCTACAGGGTAGGGCTTGTCTCCCATGAGTCAATGCCGCATCAGCATGGAAAAAAACATCAAGCATTTGCTATGTTGAGTGGCCTGAAGGCAGAGGAACAGTTCACCATGAAACTTCTGTCATTATATTTACTCATTGGCATGTCAAACCCATCTGACTTTAGTTCTTCAATGCAAACAAGATTTAAGTGTACTCGACTTATACTGAGAGAAAAGTCCAAGTATATTTGACCTGTACTTTTACTTTTACAAACTTAAATGTATGATTAAGTATTTAAAGTAGCCTATACGTGGCTTGTAGTCGTGTTAAATTAAAGTATTAAAAATACTTTTTTTTACATATAGTCTTATGAAACTTGCATTGTTTGAAAATATTGATCAAGATATTGATATAAAACAAATATGTTTCTAATTCTGCATATATGAATTTTTGTGTAGGCTAGTCCACTGGTAGTGTACATTGGAATTTACTTTAATTCTACTTTACTCTTTCCGACTGAATTTTCCAGCTATCCATGTTTTCACTGTTATACGGTAGGGAAAGTTATACACAGGGAAAGAAGAAGCTGAAATAAATAAGTGATGGAAGATTGCTAACTCAAATGTAAAATAACGTGATCATCATACTTTAAACAGTGTGTAAATCAAAACTGCTTAATGTTTCCAAATGAAATGAAGCGCGTAACCCATGAAGAGAAAACGACTGTGAAGCGTTGGGGGTGTTGGACTCAATCTACTCCATCCATCTGTTTTGATCATTGTTCTGAATCTGATCAAGGCCTAGTCTTTGACACAAATGAAATTTTGTGTTGTTGAATGAAATTGAAATTGTCAAGTGTTGATAAAAAAGGATGCATTAAAGTTTACTACTGTTACACTTCTAGTACACTTAAACATAAACTTTTATACACTAAAAGTGGGCCAATTTAGTCCCAGAGGTATTAAAATAGTTTACTAATAGTACATGACAGTAGTATACTTATATGTAGTATACTTAAAATATCCTTGAACACTTTCTTTTACTGTCTATAGTAGCCTACATTTACAAATTTACTAATAGTACATGACAGTAGTATACTTACTACATAATGTAGTATACTTAAAATATCCTTGAACACTTGAAGTAGACTATTTTTATTTATTTATTTTTTCGTAAGCGCTCCCTCCCTGGTCACTATTTACTTTCGCTGTATCTAAAAGAGCAGCGTGGACATTGAATTTGTTTTGTGCATACGATTTTAAAAAAGAGGTTTAAAATCGTTTTGAAGCTTTTACGAGTGAACTGCCCCTTTAATTGCAAATAAATAACGGACTGAGGAAACGGTCAGCTTTAAACGACAAAACTTCCTGAATTTTGAACAGATATTCACCGTACAGCGGTGATTAAGGCATCCTCCTCCTGCCAAAAATGTCATCATTCACGAGCATGATGAGCGCACGCCCCCGTCCCGTCCCTGCCCTTCTGCAGCTCGTCACTCTCTCAGCTTCAGCGAATTTAAGAGGTTTAGCAACCCTACCGAGAACGCGCACAGACAGCAGCTTATCCACTAACACCCCGGAATAACCTATCAGTACCAGAACAAACGAGGGTTTCAACGCAATATCAAAGGCAAGTACAGTTACTTTCACATGAAGTTTTGAATATTGAATATCAACTTGAGATTTACAGTGTCAAGGTGTGTCAGGTCATGATTACTTGGTTGAATCTGATACATTGCCATTTAATTTGAAGGATATTGGCGTATCTATATATAAACTCATCATTAACACTGAACATTTTGCTTCCTTAAATGTTTAAGGACATTTTTTATTAAATTTCTGATGACAACAACCGAACTGAAAACTCTCTAAACTCATATATTCAAGTTAACATGACAGACATTATTGTAAGTGTAATGGATGCATGCACACATATTATTGCATAGTAGTGATGAAAACACTGTTACAGTGCGTTTAAGGAAAATTTCAGAAGACCTCTAAAACTGGCTTTATCATTGCATGGTCAGATCAGGGTCTTGGTGACTGTAAAAGCCCTTAATTATAATACTTAAGGTTTTAGTCATCCACATCCCTGCTCATTTAGCTATATATATATATATATATATATATATATATATAAACTGATAAATAACCAACCCCGCCATTCTCTAAACACCATGGTGGGTGTGGACTGAAGTTTCGGCTATGTTAAAGCAATAACACCATGTGGTTTACTAGGGAAATCCGGGAATTGGCTGATCTCAAGGACAGTTTTTAGTAACAGTGTTTAGCCATTACATAATAAGAGTGAGTTAGTGTAACTGGTCCAAGTGATTTTCTGAAGGTCACGAGGACAGATGTACATTAGGTGATGCTTCTTCTCACCATTGACAGAACACACAGCTTTTAAACATTCAATATATATTTTTTGTCTTTCTTTTTACAAACATGTTTTCACAGTTGCGTCACACACCAGTAAATCTCAGCAACAAGCTGTGAGCAGTCTAAATGGTAAAAACATATGGCTCTCATAGAGAAACAATAACAGAAATGTGCTTGGTTTAATGCTTGTAGTTCCCAGTAATGGCGTAATTAACTTAAGGCTATAGCAAAAATAACCACTTTAAATTCTGTCTTTTCCCTTACACACACACACACTCTAAGTAAATAATAATACTGTGCTATTAGTCTGCTGTATTCACTGATTTCCAAAGGTTATGCAATCTTCACATTAAATTTAAATGTGGAATACAATAGTAAATGTCAGTGTGAATGTAATTTACAGTAATAGCTAGAGCTCAAAGGGGAATAAAAACTATAGGGAGTTCTAATCTCGTTCTCTACTGCCAATAATGTTCTGGGGCAGTCAAAAATATACCCATAAAGGCACGCATGCACACATTGTATTAACTATTTTATCTAACAAAAAAATCCAACAAATCCCTGCAACACGTTTTGGAAGAAGTGACATCTCTGAGGGTTTGTAATTTATAGGTAAGTAGCTGCAAAGACTAGAGAGAAAAAATATAAATCAACGCTTTTCTTTTTTGTTCAAATTGCACAATAAATAAATGTGCTTCTCTCTCTCTCTCTGTGTGTGTGTGTATTTTTAATTCTACAACACACTCTTGACTTTCACATGTTGTAAATCTGCCTTCTCCTTTTTTTTTGTTCCTCAGATCTGCTGTTGTGATGATAAATTCCTGGAGGAGCTGAAGAGTTTACATAAGACATAAAGGACGTCGCTTCCAGTTGCCATTTTGGGATTTAAAAGTGAAATAAAGGTGACCGACCAATCAAAACGTATGAAAGAGCTAATATCAGACTGAGGACTAGGTTCCTCTTAATTTCTGCTACAAATACAGACGTTTCACACCGAATACTGGGAAACAGAATGCCAGCCAAGACGCCCATGTACTTAAAGACATCGACACCAAAGCGAGGCAAGAAGTTGAAAATACGAGACGTTCTTTCAGGCGACATGATAAGCCCGCCGTTGGGTGATGTGCGTCACAGTGCTCATGTCGGGCCTGAGGGAGAGGGGGACATGTTTGGCGATGTGGGATTCTTACACGGCAAACTTGACATGCTTCCTGCCAACAATCAACCGCCCAGCTCTCGTTTTCACAGCATGGACAGAAGAATGGATGAGATCTGTGATGCAAATAGCAAGAGCCACAGTTACCATCGCAGTCATAATTATCATCACAACTCTCTCCTCAAAACCACAATCTCCATGCCGGTGTTTATCGCGCCAGTGCAACCTCCTCCTAAACCCCCCCGTTTGCATTTAGACGAGCAGTCGACTCCTGTTCATCAGCAGCAGCGCTCCATGTCTGTGTGTGAGGAAGGAATTGAGAAGTGCAGGGATCCCTGCCGTGACCACCTCACTCTCTCCGCCTCAATCCCAGTCCTGCCACACCTGGTGCCTTCCACGGGCTCCTTATCCGAGGCTTCCTCGGACGACTCCATGTCGGAAGGCTGTGGTCCGCTGGATCCAAAACGAGGCTTGAGTCTGGACTCTGATGCAGGGCTCAGTAATGAGGACCTGCGGAGCGAACACTGCGAGTCTCCGGCTATCTCACCCAGTATGTCACGCTCAGAGTCCCTAATGGGTTTGGACCTGGACCTGGGACCATCCATTTTGGATGATGTTCTTAGCATCATGGACCGTTATAAGACTGTGGAGGAGAGACATGAGATATGAGGGGATTCACTTCAGATACTATGATATAAGTGTCAGCTCACCCATGCCATCTTATTATGCCTGTTTCAGAGGACAATGAAAAAATTGGGATTAAAGAGCAATAGCTGGTTGTGCCACAGATGCTGCAGAGTTATGGCACATTCTTAACCACGTGTAATTATCACAAGTAGGCAGTAATTGTGAAAACTCTGTGATGATGTCATTTTTAAAAAATAGAATGATTTAATCGATCAATCAATTCATTTCCATAAGGTGATCAGGTCATTACACAACAGTGTTAATAGATAACATCACAAGAGCAGTGTTTTCCTGGGTTTCTGGAGATGTAAAAAATTCAAGCACTTACAATTTGTTCATTTTTTTATATATGTGCTGTTGCTTATTAAGCTATGTTTAGTGGGGAATGAAATTGGGAGTTTGGCTATATAGTACTTTTTTCTTGAAAATGTCAAAAAAAAAATCTTAAAATTTTGAGGAAGGTATCATTTTTAGTCAAATTAGGAGCATATTATCAAGGAATGGCCCAAAATGCATTTTTGATTTACTTCCAGAGTAAACATATTATGCAGATAAAACATTATATTCTGTTTAGCCTGTGATCTAAAATACTTTTTTCCCCTGCCTATGAGTACAAAGGAAATCACTTTGTAAAGGTTTATCTTTGTTGGGGTATAATGTATAAAGGATATTTTATTGCATTATAATATATTAAATAAAAATGTTCATGTAAATAAAATATATATTATAAATATATGCCTCTGGTTTCTTTCTTTCTTTCTTTCTTTCTTTCTTTCTTTCTTTCTTTCTTTCTTTCTTTCTTTCTTTCTTTCTTTCTTTCTTTCTTTCTTTCTTTCTTTCTTTCTTTCTTTCTTTCTTTCTTTCTTTCTTTAATTTACTCTTCTCTTGTATTTATTCTTAAATAATTGATGCTAGTAAAGTACAACTAGTCGGGGAGAATATTTTTTTCAGTGGAAGTTAATTCCGGACTCTTTTTTGATTATTTAGGTCTACCCCAATGGTTCTAAATGCACTTCCGCCAAAATGTTGAATTGACATGCGTATCATCCAATGAGATGAGAGACTGGGGGAGGGTTTTCAAGCTAACATCCAATCACAGAAGGAAAATACCTTACGCGTTTTAATTGCGACAGCTTTTCGTGCTGCTAGGAACGCACTTATAACTCGATAGTAGTCATTTGTGTAATATTCGCATAATAGTTATATATAGATATATTATTGTGTGAAAATAAAGAAAACTGACCACAATAAGTGTTATAGTGCTGTAAAGCTACCAGCTATCATGAAGTGAGTAAAACCGTCAAGTTAATATATGGACTAACGTTAGTAGCATTGCTGCATATCTCCAAACCCAGTGTTTATTTACCAGAAGTTTTCTGCCCTTAATTTCCCTTTCATCCCTTTAGGCTGAATATCGACGGGCTATTAGTCTATTTTCCTTATGACTACATTTATCCCGAACAATACTCGTATATGCTTGAGCTGAAGAGGACGCTGGATGCAAAGGTAACGTTATATTATAATCCAATTTCGTCTTATTATTTCATGCAATGTTACATGGTATACTTAATGTAAAATAAAAATCTAAAAGATAAAACATTTACACTTTATACAGAAATATTTCTTTTCGAATTATTATTAAAAAATTCTTTTATAATCTTGCATTAATTGAGAGACTACATAGCCAATTTGTTTATTTTACATTTGTCTAACAACAGAGGCGTTTAAATGACTAAGTGAAAGTTAAAAGTCATTAAAAAAACGTAGATATGTATAATATGTGTATTTTTCTATCTACAATTGTTTCTCTTCTATTATGTGTACTAGGGCCATGGAGTTCTCGAGATGCCCTCAGGAACAGGAAAAACTATTTCTCTTCTTTCCCTCATCGTTGCTTACCAGAAGGTGAGTGATTTCTTAATTACTGTTATACAATCGGAAACTTCACTGTAATGACAGTTTGATAACTTTGCACATATCTTCATTTATATTTTCAATTTCACCTCATGCAGGCTTACCCTTTAGAAGTCACCAAGCTTGTCTACTGCTCTCGCACTGTGCCAGAGATAGAAAAGGTATTCAATAACTGACATTTTTATAACCCATTGCTTAAAAACTCATCCTATTTTAATTACTTGTCTGCATCCTCTCTTCTCCTGCCAGGTTGTGGAAGAGTTAAGGAAACTAATGGACTATTATACAAAGCAAACAGGAGCAAAAAACGACTTCCTCGCACTGGCGCTTTCTTCACGGAAAAACCTGTGCATTCATCCTGAGGTAGAGGCTGCTAAATGAGCTTCAGCAAAATTTGTGTGCAGGTGAACTCATTAAGCGGAAGTGAATGTGTTATTACAGGTGAGCTCTCTGCGTTTTGGAAAAGAAGTAGATGGAAAGTGTCACAGTCTGACAGCATCGTATATTCGAGCGCAGCATCACAGTAACCCGAGTCAACCTGTCTGCCAGTTCTATGAAGTATGAAGCGTTTCTCAAGTATATGCTGTAGCATTTGGCTTTATTATTTATTTATTTTTTACTTTACAATCCTGCCACTGTTTGTGTCAAATGAGTCACTCAGTTTTGGTCTGTCCCTGTATGCAGGGAATTACAGGATATTTTATTCTATTCTAATGTATGAAATAAACACAAATATGTTTAATGTTTTGAAATATTTAAATATAAATAATAAATATTATTTAATAATAATATAATTAAATAATATTATTTAATTTAATAATAATAATAAATATGTATTATTATTATTATTTTACTATTGATATTTAAACTGTATAGTCTTTAATTACTTTAAATTTAAATGAATTTTTTTTTATCTTGTAATCAAAGTAAAAAATGTAATACTATTAAAATAACATTATTAAAATTGAATTCCTGTATGCAGGAATTTGATTCAGTTGGCAGACAAGTGCCCATTCCCCCTGGTATATATAACTTGGATGATCTGAAAGACTTTGGGCGTAGAAAGGGCTGGTGTCCGTACTTCCTGGCACGTTACTCAGTGAGTACTTTGCTAGATTTAGTATGATGCTAGATTTAGTATGATGTTTTTTTTTATGCAAGCAATTGATTGTTGTTGCTTTCATGTTTCTTCATTCAGATTCTTCACGCAAACATAGTAGTGTACAGCTACCATTACTTACTAGATCCAAAAATTGCAGACGTGGTCTCGAAAGAGCTCGCAAAGAAATCTGTAGTCGTGTTCGACGAGGCTCACAACATCGGTGAGAAGCAAATTGTAGTGTTTGTAACTGTCATCCATATCACGCAAGAAAGATCATGGTTATTTAACCTGATATTGTTCCCTCTAGATAATGTGTGTATTGACTCCATGAGCGTCAACATTACCAGGAGGACGCTGGATCGCTGCCAGACTAATGTGGAAACCCTACAAAACACCATTAGCAAGTGCGACAAAATAGTGCGAGAGTGAATTAAGTGTCTTATTTACTACTTACAATGGTAATGTTTTTAATTTCCTGCATTCTGCTTGTTCTTTTAAAGAATTAAGGAAACAGATGCTGCCAAACTTCGAGAAGAATATAGGAGATTAGTTGAGGGCCTTAAAGAAGCAAATGTTGCCCGAGAGACTGACATCTACCTGTCCAATCCAGTTTTGCCTGATGAAATCCTCCAAGGTCCGTTTTTATTATCTACAATGACCCACAAAGTATTTGGACATTCAAGCCACGCTTAAAAAGGTGCCTGTCATTGAATTAGATACAATATATTAAGCCAATTTGCATCTGCGAACAAACATCATATTTTTACTCCAAATCTTTTTTATTGGTTTTCAATGACAGTACAACATAACACATCATAAACAGTAGACAGTAAAATATTGTCCATTATTAATCCCTTACATGATCTACCTACTCAATCCAATAGCTAAAAAAATAGAAATAAAAATAAATAAATAAGTACAATAAAAATATTTAAAACAATAATAATAAATTAAATTAAAATAATATGAAAAAAATACATATATATATAATATAAAATTACATTCTAAACATCATATTTTGATGATGACTTTTAACCAACTGGTCCCATATTTTTAGTTAGATATGTTTTGTCTTGATTTTGAACAAAAAAAATACAATATCTATCATTGTCAAATGTTTTGCTTCAAATTGCTATACATATTTGGATTTATTAAGACATTTTTAAGTGTGGCTTCAGTGTCCAGATATGTTTGACACATGCGACTCTCACTACAGAGGCTGTTCCTGGCAGCATCCGCACGGCAGAGCACTTTGTAGGCTTTATGAAGCGCCTCCTTGAGTACCTGAAGGCACGTTTGCGGATCCATCATGTGGTGCAGGAGAGTGCTCCTCAGTTCCTCAAAGACATCTTCGAGAAGGTCTGCATTGACCGCAAACCCCTTAGGTGAGAAAAAGAAACAGTCAGTTTCTTCTGCCACCCCGCACTGGAAATAGAACTGATGGTCATTATTAAGTAATGAACCCACATATTCACCCCTGCCTAAATGTACTGTATATTTAATCCACTTCCAGATTTTGTGCAGAGAGGCTGCGCTCCCTGCTGAGGACGCTGGAGATTGCAGACATCGCTGACTTCTCAGCCATTACCCTGATCTCACACTTTGCCACACTTGTCAGCACCTACAGTAAAGGTAAGAAAGCCTCATCCTGCCACCATGATGACGCGGTCTTGTTTACCCTTGTTCTGTAACTTTACATGGAAATCCAGTCACTCCAATTGGAATCCATGTGATTAGGAGTTTAGCGTGAGGGCAGAACATTTCGCAGATTTTTCAGCGTTTAAGTTAGTCACGAGGAACCACCGCAGCAACTAACAGAAAGCTGCTCTACTAATGATTTCTTATGAGTAATCATTCTCTTTTAGGCTTCACCATCATCATTGAACCATTTGAAGATAAAACGCCAACAATAGCGAATCCTGTTCTTCACTTCAGGTGCATTCATTCTGCAATTTGACATTCCTATTAAATGTTTATTAGCATTATCACTAACTTTTCCTTTCTCGGCAGTTGTATGGACCCCTCTATCGCCATAAAGCCAGTGTTTGGCCGTTTTCAGTCGGTTATCATCACATCCGGGGTAAGCTGTGCTCCTCAATCCATATGCCGCTATCTTTGCATGAATATTAGATTACACACACCCTACCCACTAATCTCTTCATTATAATCCCACTGTAACACTCATGCCATCTGTGTAAGACATACTTCACTTTCACCTTAAAGTGTGCAGACAAAGTGTCACTTGTCATCAATCCTCAGTATCCTACACTTCTACATCTACATTTATTTATTTTAGAAACTTCACTATTCTGGGTTAGCAACTTTTGGATTTAAGATCATTTTTAATTCTCTCTCTGAATTAGACGCTCTCTCCGCTGGACATCTACCCACGCATCCTTGATTTCCGCCCAGTAACTGTGGCTTGCTTCACCATGACACTGGCACGAACCTGCCTGTGCCCTCTGGTGAGTTATGCCTATGGCAATGCCACCAAACTGTTAATGCAATTGTGCAAATATTTGCATATTTAATTGAAAGTTTTGAAATAAGATATATGAGATGGATGTCAGACAGGCCCCCTTCCCCCATATAGGCAAGATATTTTCAGTATTTCTGCTGTAATTATGACGATTAAATCGATTAACCATAATTCATTTCCTGATTCCAGAAGTTAACCATAGTTTACTTCTTGTATTTGTTTTTGACAATTTACGTTATAGTTGAATTGTTTTAATATATCAATAATAATTCTTTATTTACTTAAGTTATCCTCTGGCCCTCTAGTTGAGAACCACTGCATTAAGCTCTATTATATTTTTTTATCTAGACAATTTTGTCTTTCCAATTTTTTTCAGATTGTTGGCCGAGGGAATGATCAGGTAGCAATGACCTCCAAGTTTGAGACCAGAGAAGATTTTGGTAAGTTGTTTTGTGAATTTTGTTTGTAAAATTGGCTTTATTTTGGAGTGCTGTTGAAAGAGGACCATTTTATTTACTACATCCCATAGCTGTGATCCGGAACTATGGAAACTTGCTGCTGGAAATGTCTGCCATTGTCCCTGACGGAATTGTAGCATTCTTCACAAGTTACATTTACATGGAGAACATTGTGGCCTCCTGGTATGAACAGGTACAAAGAAGCAACTTGATTCCTTCTCCGATCATTTAAAGTGCTGTTATTATAATCATTACTAATTAACTTGCTGGATTTGTAGGGAATCCTTGAGAACATCCAAAGGAACAAGCTCATTTTCATAGAGACCCAGGATGCAGCTGAGACTAGCATGGCCCTGGAGAAGTATCAAGAGGTCAATAATCATTGTTTTTTTAATTATCCCTAATCCTATTTCCCTTAATCATCTTATGTAATATTGACTTTATTTTAAGTGTCCTGTAATAATGTAATCACTTTTGTTATCGTTCACTTTCAGGCCTGTGAGAACGGCAGAGGAGCAATTCTGCTCTCCGTGGCAAGAGGAAAAGTGTCCGAAGGGATTGACTTTGGTGCATACTAGTCCCTTGATCAATTTAGCGCTGTTTGTTTTTAATTCGCAAATTCTTTAATACAATTAAGTTAAACCTTTTGTTGATCAGTTTTCCCTTTTTAACCCCCAGTTCACCATTTTGGTCGTGCCGTTATCATGTTTGGAGTGCCGTATGTTTACACTCAGAGCCGAATCCTCAAGGTATGTAGTGCTCCTAGATCATGATTTCTAATACTGTCTGTAACTAATAAAAACCCTGACCTGTTTGCTTTAATCAGGCACGGTTGGAATACCTCAGAGAGCAGTTTCAAATCCGGGAAAATGACTTCCTGACGTTTGATGCGATGCGGCATGCGGCTCAGTGTGTGGGTAGGGTCATCCGAGGCAAAACAGACTATGGCCTGATGATCTTTGCAGATAAAGTAAGTAAACTGGTGGGAAAGTAACATGTAAACTTTTCTTTGCCGTTTAATTGTGATTTTTTTCCCCTCAGCGTTACGCACGAGCAGATAAGCGAGGAAAGCTGCCCCGCTGGATCCAGGAACACCTCACAGATGGAAGCCTAAATCTGACCACTGATGAGACGGTGCAGTTAGCCAAACACTTTCTGCGACAGATGGCACAGCCCTTCAGACAGGTAAGGTCAAATCATCGATTCAATGATTGAAACCCGTCATGTTTAGTGGGTTTCATTCAGTAAGTTTGTACTTATATTCTTTCTAAACTTAGAAGCAACTGAGATCACGTGCATGCAGAAAGTGAGCTGGGATGAGTTTGTGAGGTGCATAATTCTCAGAAATCTTTGTGTGGCAGGAGGATCAGTTGGGTTTGTCTCTGCTGACCCTGGAACAATTGCAGTCTGAGGATATGCTCCAGAAAATTGCTCAGATTGCACATCAAGCCTGAGGAACAAAATTGAGAAAATGTGTGTATATATATATATATATATATATGTATTTTTTTTAAAGTGTTTTCTACAACAATCCCAGGAGCATTAATAAATGCTGTTCTTTAACCAGTGTTGTTCTGTACTGTTTGAAGTGCAACATGCTGTCTCAGAAGCAGCTGTAGGTCACCACAGTTAGGGGGAGACTATTGGAAGACACCAGGGGCATCATTTATAAAACGTGTGTGTGCACAGATTTGAACTTAGAGTGTGTATGCTAAAATCCACGCCAACATTCATATTTGCCTTGTCAGGTTCTAAGACGTATGCACTTTTCCTTTTTGAAGAGAGTCGGAGAACCTCAGGTGTTTGGAAATCGAAGCAATTCTTGCCGCTCGCCATTCTTGCCGCTCGCCATTCTCAGGTAAAGGATTTGGATGTTGAATGTGCTCTTTTATATGTTAGTGACATTAATTAGGTGCTGTTTACAAGGTGAAGATTTGAAACCATTTAGCTGCACACAATTTCAAGATAATTTGTGACTAATCTAGTAGAGGCATACTTTTTTGTGCATACGTTTGTTCCCTGAATCACACGTACACACATTTGAGAAATGATCTTGGCTCAAATGTAGGTTGGTTTCTACACAACATTTTGTAAATGAGGCCCCAGCAAGATATTGATAGGGCCCATATCAGCTGTCATTCACCTATTTATCAGACAGTACACATTTTGATTAAGACAGAGGTAGAACAATTTTATTTGGTTCATCAGCAACATTGTGTACATACTGTATACTTTTTAAGCTCATATGTGAATATGTACTGTAACATTCAACCATGTAGCATGTACAACTATTTAGATTATGTAACAACTCATTGAATTATAGGTCCAAATACCTCTCAATAACTACTTCAACTAAACTAGATTCACGTTATATACTGTAAATTACTCTTGTACCCTGAAGTTCTGCTCTTATAAAATCCTATAGTGATAAGTACCAAAACTAAAACAATAGTATAGCATATCCTCTCGTATTTATATTTATACATACAATATGTGCTTGAAATTGAAAAATAAAAAGTCCCTTAATTTTTAGGCACAAGTACCATAATTTTTTGACATTACCTCAGCATTTAATTTATTTTGGAATGTAACATGTAGCTTTAATTAGGAATTTTAAGTACATTTAGATCTGATTTTAAGATTTGTGTGCAATTGAAATTGTTTAATTCCAATACTATAATTTTACTGCATGATGGTGTGAGAACATGGAATATATTTCACATAATACTACAATATTCTAAATAAACAGAGTTAAGGTGCAGTAACATTAGCAAAATTTTGGAGAAAACTCATGGGCAAAAATACATTTTCTATAGTATGAAGCTTGAAGCTCACACAGAAGTTACTTTCAAACCAGGCAGAAAGTTGGTCGATGTGACAAAATTGCACGTGCAACTTTTTCCTCTCGCACAATTGAAATTACTGTATTTTGCCCACAAAATTTTGCCAAGCAACAACAACAACTAAAACCCCAGCATCCTGCTGAAGGTTGTGGAAAAATTATAGTAATCATAGGAATGAATATGTATTAATATTGGATGGTATTATTAGGAAAACGTCAATCTGGTCTTAGCTTTGGAATGCAATAAGTTAAAATTCACTGTGACTTTTTATAATGCAACTGACTTTAAAAAAACAACAACAGATCAAACTGATTTCAACAAAGTAAAAAAAAGCTGCTTATTTCTGTAAAGCCAAAGTGTGCTTCCTGTTCCCAGGAGCACTTTGACAGACCGCATTCATTGTCACATACTATTTCACATGTTATTGTCAAATACGATCTCTGCAGTTATAACAGACCATTCAGATGTTGACATCTCTTCAAGGTGTCCTGGTGTATGGCTGAAGGTTAGCTGTCTCCACCCAGAGACGAGCGGCGGGCTAAACTCTGCGTGCTGGAACTCAGACCTCGTGTGTCTGTCAGCCTCTTGGGCTTCTGAAAAGACAAAATCATCTCTTAATCAATCTCAATTGAATTGATTGACAGACACAGTAAATTGATCAAAAGTGACAGTAAAGACATTCACAAAAGATTTCTATGAATAAATGCTGTTCTCTTGAACTTTCTATTCATCAAAGAACCCTGAAAAACAGTTTTCAACATTGATAATAATAAGAAATGTTTTTGGAGCACCAAATCAACATTTTGAATGATTTCTGAAGGATCATGTGACACTGAAGACAGGAGTAAAATGTATTAGCGCAGCTCTCCTAAACAAGATTTGAGGTATCATACATGTCCAAACCACAATCGATGGGAAACCAGTTGAACATTTATGGTTAGTGGTCTGTTCAAATCCCAAACCAAAAGTATGAGAAAACTATATGAGGATTATATGCGAAATATTTTTAAATACTTGAGAAAATTTGAAAGAAAACACTCAGCACTTACCATAGCAGCCTCTTGATTCTCTTTAAGACCCACATTAAGCACATTGAGAGAATTGGCTCTCTTCATCCTTTTTAAAAATAGAGTAGTAGTTAAAAAATGTGGCTCTATCCTACATAAAAAGTGATGAGAACTGAACAAAAAGCAGAACATCATTACCCAGCAGCTCGAGGGGTCGTTTCTTGTGTTCCGACTCCTTTCAGCTTCCGAACAAGTTTTTCGCTGCTTCGTCTTATGGATTCCCGGAGCTTGGTAAATGATCCGCTGCGCTTTAGACTTCCTAGACCATCCTACAGTACACACACATAGAGGAAAATGTCAAAGAAAAAGCTATTTCTCCTTATAAAACATATATTTGGATTGGAAACATACCTGTCTAGAGCATCCCTCCTCCGTATGTATCCAAACAGGTCGCCCGTCCCCTTTATAGATGTGAAAATATTCATTTACAATTGGACAGGTCTGTTTAATAGGCCAAACTACGGTGCATAGATAATTCTCTGGAGGCAGATGTAAAATTAATTTTACCCTCCACTGAGCCGAACTCCTTCTCATGAGCACGAGTCAGAATCTCTTTATAAAGAGCCTCAGCCTGCCTGTATTTACCCTGCTTGAGGTAACAGGAGGCCTAAGGAGCAAATGAACGGTATGTTATATATCACGCGTTAAATAAAACTGCTATTGTTATTAAATAACTCGTTTCCAATCCTCACCAGGTTGTTCTTCGTCTTGGCCACATTGGCATCGTCAGGACCCAACTGGCTTTGGTAAATGTGCAGGGCACGTTCATAGTATTGCTCCACCTCCTGGTATTTGCCCTGATTCTGGCATAGGAGGGCTAAGTTATTCAGCTGCTTGGCTACATCGGGGTGATCCATCCCAAGCACCTATCAACAGACAAATATAGACAAGATATTTAGACTCGACGAGTGGTTCTTAACCTTTCTGACTCCAAGCTATAATATTTGTCCACAACAATATTTAAAGGCCCCATCACTTTTTCAGTTGTTCTTGATTTACTTGATAAAGGATATTTTCAAGATAGGAATCCTGGTTTTTCAAAGACAAAAAAGAAAAGAAAAGAAAAAAGAAATCTTACTGTCCCTTAACCTCTGAACGGTAGTGTAAGAGGATATGATCAGACAGGTGGGATTACCATTCTTCTATTATGTACCTTTTCTCTGATTTCCAGAGCCCTTTTACATAGTGGCTCCGCCTCTTTGTACTTCCCCCTTTTTCCATACAACACGGCTAGATTATTCAGAGTAGCTGCCACCTTCAAACACAAACACAAAAATTCAAGGAAAGGGACATTTTTTTACTTCCTAAAGAAATCAAACAGTACGTACTGCTGGATGGTCCATGCCTAGCGTCTTCTCGCGGATGGCCAATGCATCATTCAGGAGATTGGCAGCTTCCTTGTATTTGTTCTGATCCCTTTAAAGCAACATATTAATAATTATTATTTATTAAGCTTATAATTTAAATTAATATTGATTCTGTAAATGATCATTATTTGATGTTCCATATAACTGACCTGTACACTAAAGCCAGGATATTGAGCATGGTTGCAACATCTGGGTGGCTGTGGCCCGAGGATTTCTCCAGGTCCTCCAGAGCTTGCTTGCAGAGTGGCACGGCCACCTCGTAGCGGCCCTGAGAGGCGTACTGGATCACCAGGTTGTGGAGCGTTCGCAGTCGGGCAGGGATCTCATATCCTCCCTGCTGGGCAGCGGCGGCGGCACTACTGTGTGGCCGAGACACTGCAAATACAAGAGCTGCGCTGAGACGCATGTGCACATGCTCCAATAGATAGATCATCTCAGTTCAAATCATCTTGTGATATTTCTCTACCCTTATCGAAATAAAAAAGGGCAATGTTTCAATTTAATGTGAGGTTCTACTAAACTGTGCTTAAAATCAAACACCACACTAACCCTAGCTTACTCTAACCTAACAGGTGACATGGCAAAAACTCTGAAAACAAATGTGTAAAGGAACAGCTGTGGTCTGTGAGGGATGATGTACTGTGTGATTGCTCCTCTTCTTCAGAAGGAAAGAGATCATCAAGGGATTCCTTTCCTGAAGAAGCATCTTTATCCTCCTGTAACAAACAAAGAGCATGAACATGTCATGAAATATTTCGGAAAGCCTTTTGACCAGTGGTTCTCAACCATGGTGTCAGGGCCCACAAGGGGGCTTCAGCACACTTCCAAAATCACTTTGAAATAATAAATTATTATTAAAATGTTAAAAAACAAATGTAATATACAAATCATTTTTTCTTTTTCTGATTTTGTTATTATTGAAGAACATGCAGTTCTTAAAATCACTTGTCCAGGTCTAGAAATCACACATAAAGTTATAAAATACTTGCAAAAACATCAATAAAAACTTTTTTAATTTTAACAAGTTAAGTAATCTTGATGCTTCTAGCTGAGATACTGGATTATACAATTTGATTTCAATCTATTTATTGAGCCATCAAATGTATATGCTTATTATTCTGGTAAAAATAAACATTTTATTTAGACAAGATAATTAAAGATATATAAATAAGTGCTATAATAGTGTTATGTACACTAGATTTTGAAAAATGCAATCATATTTCTTTTTTTTTATTGAAGAACATCCAGTTCTTAAAGGGATGGTTCACTTTGAACTAAACATATTTATATAAACGGAAAATCGCAATGGAAGACGATTTTGATATATCTAAATATGTTTAGTGAAAGGTAAAACTTCCGAAATATCTGTGTAAACAATGTGTGACATAGACGCGTGAGAGATCACTTCCGGCGTAACGTCTGGAGATGGTTCAGTTCAGTTCTGTTCAGTTGGACATCTGATTCTGATCAGTTCGAAGGCTGTTAACAAGAGGTAAAAACTATATAAATGCTGTTCGTTTTCTCACACAAACCGCGCATTTCGTGCCTTAGGCCATCAGTGTGTACTTACATTCACGAGTCATTAAATCATGTTTAATTTTGACTTCTCTGTGCATGCTCTTTGAGGTGGATCCCCTAAAACTGCATTATAGGACTGACAGACAACAACGGTTTGACCGAAAAATGTCAAAATTGAAAATGCTGTGGAAACAAAGACACCTACATCTTGGATGCCCTTGAGGTAAGCTAAAACATATAAAAAATTAATTTCAAAGTGAACTATCCCTTTAAAATCACAAAACGAATCATGGTTAATCAGTTTGATATATCAATACTTACTGTCATAATTACAGTAGAAATACAGAAACAATATTTACCAATATTGAGGTCTTCATCAAAAAGTTGTGTGTTTCTTTAACTTTGGGTACTTTTATGTCCCAGGGTTTGATTTTTACTAAAACTAATAGATTTCAACTTTTTCTTTTTGTTATAGCAAGGTCAAACTGACTTGTAACCAATGCTTTGCCTTACCATGCATTTATTTTTTGCTACTTTTCAAATGCCTTTTTATATGGATATTATTTGTTTTAGCATTGTCCCAAACCTTTATCCCATACTTTTGCTAAAATATGAAAATCATTCATGAACACGAATTACATTACAGGTTTAAAACTATGATAATCCCCCCAACAAGTGAACATATACAAATAAATATAATTTATATCACTTACAACTGTCCCACGGCTGTGTGCTGGTTAATTCCCAACATAAATTAAAAAAATGTACCTAAGATGAAATACAAGATGTAATGTGTGAATAAAATAAATAAAATAAAGATAAATATGACGTGAAAAGAATATTATTATCATTACCAATCAAGCTGTAATTGTCAAATTATTCAAGAAGTGTGGAAATATTATTTAATTGTGTGTATTTGAGATGCATAAAAATGCTTAGCAAGACAAAGGAGGCTGTCATTTCATTAATATTTAAAAAAGTCATTTCCACAAAAGAAAGTGCTATTAAATACAACTTGTTTAATTTGCACTTAAAGTTTTTTTTTAAAATAATTATCAGGAAACATGATTGAGGACACAACAATAGAACCACAAAGCTAGTCTAGAACAAAATGTTTAGTCTAAGAACCTAATATTAACTGTATGAATGTTTTGAAGATGAACCCTTACCAGTGGCGGCTCTTCGTGGTCGTACTTGCGGATGCTGCTCATGAACTGCAGGTGTCTGTTCTGCTCCTCTAAAGTAACCACTTCCTGTTCCCGCTCCTGTAGCTGCAGCTGGGCCCGGGCCAGCTCATCCCTCAGCCACTGGTTCTCCTGGCACAACCTCCGCACCTGAGCACGCAACTTCTGCTTCTCTGCCTCCAAGGAGCCCAGGTGTGCTGACAGCGCCATCATTACCTGAGTGCGTGGGAAACAGACAGCTAAGGGTGAGTGGAAATGCTCTTAGTGTGGCAGATGAATGAAGACGACTGTGTCGCTCACTTGTGCCTCTCCTAAGCCTAGCTCAATCCTCTCCAGAGACTCTAAAATGATGCTGGTCTTCTCCTGCTCCAGGCTGCCGCTCTCGCTGGACTTCTGGCTCTGGAGCGTGTCTTGCAGGCTGTCCAGCAGCGTGCGGTTCTCTCCACGCAAAGCTTCCAGCCCTGCGATGACCTGCTGGGTGCTGCATATGATTTCCTCCCCTGACAACATGTCTGACCTCAGTACCTGGTGAGGAAAATATGTATTTGGTATTAATGTGCATTTACTGTAAAAATTGAGCATGATTCATGATTCTAAATTTTTTATATGCAGAAATGCATTGTAACTTTCCTGCTAAAATGATGGAAATTATTTAAAGGCAAAGGACATGAAGAAAAGGGTCACATTTACACTGCTGTTCAAAAGATGTTTTTTTAAAAAAGAAATTAATACGTTTATTCAGCAAGAATGCATCAAAATACAAAAGATTTTTATTTCAAATAAATGCTGTTCTTTTAAGCGTTCTATTAATCAAAACATCATGAAAGCATCACAGATTCCACAAAAATATTAAGCCATTTTAAGACTAGACTGATAATAATCAGAAAAGCATATAATGATTTTTGAAGGATCGTGTCTGACACTGAAGACTGGAGTAATTATGCTGAAAATTAAGCTTTGCCATCACAGGAATAAGTTATATTCTTAAATATATTCAAATAGAAAACAATCATTTTAAATTGTAATAATATTTCTCAATATTTCATTTTTTTACAGTATTGTAAATTACCATTGTTGTTATTATTACTATTAAATTATTTTACAGTATTTTTTAAGGGTATAGACAGTGAGTATGAGAGACTTGTTTCAAAAATATATATATATAAAAAAAAACTTCCCAACCCTTAACTTTTGAAGTATCCAAATGGTGTACAAGCAAATGATTAATCTACAGCCAAAGTGTAGTGCTTCGTGGCTGTGGTAACAAGAGGTAAAAATTATATAAATACTGTTCGTTTTCACACAAACCACTCGTATCTTGTCTTAGGCCATCAATGTGTACTTACATTTACGAGTCATTAAATTATGTTTAATTTGGACTTCTCTGTGCATGGTCTTTGAGGTGGTGACCATAGACCTCCATTATATGACTGACAGACAAGAACGGTTTGACCTAAAAATATAAAAATTGAAACTACTGTGGAAACAAAGACACCTACATCTTAGATGCCCTTGAGGTAAGCTAAAACATACCAAAAAAATTATTTCCAAGTGAATAATGTGCACTGTAAATAAATCAACACTGCTACGAAATATCAAAGGTGGTTTATCAGCCTGAAAAATGGTCTGAAAAATGTTCAGACAAACCCTACACAAGCAACTACTAAACAAGCATATGAAGGAGGGTCACAGGTAAAATTACATAAAACACAGTATAGAATATCAGAAACTGACCTTAATTCACAATCTCCTTTGGCAGCAAAGAAAGAAAGTTTCATAATAAAAAGGCATTCTCTGATGGGGAAAGAGTTAAAAGTAACTGCACAAACAAAACAGCACTGTATGTGTGATATGTCCAGATGCGCAATACATGTTTTTCAGGAAGCACCAGAGAATACAACTAGGCCTATTTTAGGAGCAGAGACCCGTTATAGCCTTAAAAGAATGAAGTAAAGTGTAGTGTAGTGAAGCTTCTTTGCCACACCAACAATATGAAAACAAGCAGAAGGGTTGCTATGTAAGAATCAGTTTACATGTAGGAACAAAGATCCCTCTGGGGAGGTAAAGGCCTGAGATAATGTTTACGCTAGAGCGATGAGGTCATCATACACAGGATACATGCTTTTAATGGTAATTAATTGAAAAAAAAACAAAACAAAAAAACAACGATGATAAATGATAAATTAGGTTTAAAGAGTGGAAATACGAAAGAATTTGAACATTGCGCTGGTCACTCTCATGCAATTAATTGCAAGGTTTCAAGACTCCAAAAGGATGCAAGACCATCAAAAGTGTCGTAAAGTTTGTTCAAAGACTATTATGCTATTTTCCAAGTCATCTAATTCAGAATAACAGCGAATAACAAACTAAATTTCAGTCCGTTTATTATAAAAGCTAGTGTGGCTTCAAGGGACAGAACAAGTGTCATATTTTGTCAATTTTAGAGGTTGACAAACCCAATCATTGTTTACTTTAGTGATAAGAATGGCTAAAATATAATGGAAGAAAAAACATCATACCAGTTTGGACTGACAGGAGGTTGGACAAATAATGACAAAATAATAATAATAATCTATTGGATTTGAGTTTTGAATACTACAGTATTACTATTTTAAATAGCATTCATTTTAAAATTATATAAGATAGCCTCAGCCTATAGTAGCCTAGCTATATAGCCTATAATCTAAAATAAATTAATTGAAATAATAGTTCCTTATAATAAACACGCTATAACACGATGGGTAAAGCTAGACCCCTTAAAAAAGGGGATTTTAGAGATGATAATTGTAGTCTACTTGATATGACTAGTGATGATGACTTGCAATCAATAAACTTTTACCAGACTAGCATTAGTAGGGCCAAAACAAACACTGAAAATGAAATGAGAGTGTAACCGTCTATTAAACCGCACAGTAAAGCTGTTTATTTTCCCAGCTCATTAAAAGAGACTATCGGTCAGTGAGCGTCAAGTCAACATCTGATATTTATTTACCTGCAGTGACTCGGGCAAGTGTCTGCGACGCGTCCCAACTTTAAAGCCAGACAATTCCGACTAAAATATTCCACATCACATCTTTATTTCCTTGATGTTGTGGCGATAAATGAGCACGGCCTTCGTCGCGGTCATTCATTCACCTGTTGTTGCTTCGCAGACAGGCTGAATTAACAGCGCTTACCTGATCCGTCAGTTCACAACATGTACGGCGGCTGCGCGTGACCACACAGAGGCAGAGCGAGGCCACCTAGGCTATCTGTGACAGCCCTGAACTGCGTCTAACTAAGCAGCAGCATCATATTTTATTTAAATCTCGTTATTTAAATAAAATTTAAATATTTATGTATTATATTTTTGTCATCAGTAATGTATAGCCTATTCATATTTTGTGTTACATTTCGGGTTTATTTTGTATTGTGTACTGTGAACTACATCTGCCAGTTATTATTACTGTAAATTTAATGAGTTAGTGTAAGTGTGCTGTATGTAAATATTTCACCTCACATTGCAAGTATTGTTTAATTAGATCAAGTTGATTGTGCATTAGTGAGGCAGCCTGAAAATAACAAGTCATAAAAACTAAACAAAAAACATAGGTAGGCTATAATAATGATAAATATTGATGATGACAAGCCGTCTAGGTAGAGTTACTTTTTCCCTCAATGCTTGGCAACAAAAACATAAAACAATGCTTACAAAGTAAATGTCTGTGTAAATCTATTTGTTACATCACAATCAGTAAACAGACTGGACATGCATAGGGAGGAGTCTTTCTGTGACGCCACATTGGCATAGTTTCAATAAAGCCGCTTAGGGTGAGTGGGGGTAGGGTGGGGGTGTTGTCTGGCTGTGTAAAATAAGCAGCATTAGCCTCGAACCCATCAGACGGGCTTAACTTAATGATAGGAATCGTACAGATCAGGATGCATTTGGAAACGTATTGAGTTTAACATACAAACTTATCAAAATAAGACTGTGCAGAGTTGAGAGTGAGAAAATGGAGGGATCAACTCATTCAGAATGCAAAAGACAAAGAAAAAAATGCTGATGCACTCTTTGTTTCATGGAATCAGTATAACCAACATGTAATTTGGGAAGAAAAACGAGTCAAGGGGTATAAAGAGGAAGGCAGGTGATGGCAATGGAGCAACTGTGGGCAGATATATAAGACTGGAGTGATTAATGGTTCAGCTGCTAGAGGAACTGGGGGCAAATCTACTCCCAATAAGGGCAGATTGGCTGGGCTAGTCCAGTGCAATGGCCTCAAATGGCGAGAGAGCTAATCTATATCTCTAGATGTGATGAGGCCAAAGTCAATAGCCAGACTAAAAACCCATTTTCATCTCTCCGCTCACTCTGTTGTGTTAGCTCAAGGCGTAGGTTTGATTTTGAAATTGGTGGGGACGGGGACATCAATATATAAATATATTTTAAGTTTTGATCAAAATTATTGCTAGGGATATATCAGTGTCACTGGATATTGGTAGGTACACGTCCCTACTAAATTCTACGCCCTTTATGTGGCATGACTGAATTAAGTGAGGACACTAGACAGTGTCTGAACTTGTCAGTAAAATGCAAATTCAAGAAATATAACAAATTTAGCAATGCCTTATTGAATCCGTGAGAGCTCATCAGCTGCACAGTTCAGGTCTCCTGGAATGTAAAAAGCATGAAACGACCTCAGATGCTTCTGACTCCATAAGAGTAGGTGGCGAGCGAGTTACGACATACAGCGGGAGCGTAGGCCAACCTGATGGTTGATGTACGCTACTGTCTGTCTGTCTGTCTGAATGAGATACACAAGCGGTGCAGAGCCAATTTTACAGCCAGCAACTCGAGGCAATTGACATGCAGAAGACGCTGGGGTCCTGGCAGTGGTGGAGGCATCTGTTGAGACAACAACATGCCTGGATCTTGATCAAGGGGCACACCGGCCTGCAGGAAGCTGAAGTTCAACCACGGGGTGAAGGTTTGACGGCAGGTTGGAGTAACTGGTACTCTGAGCATGCCTTGTTTCCATAGTGTAGCAGACTCCCCGGAAGCGGGGAGGAGATCGTGCAAACTGAATCGCATAGCCGAGCCTGATGGTCCTGGCGAGCCAGTGGGACAGGTTGGGAAGCTGAAGCCAGGTTCCCAGAAATGGGGGCCACAGACGTAACCTCGGTGAGACAACGAGGCGGTATGATTGGCTCAGACTGGGGAGGCATAGCATCCCTGTGACTGCGTTCTGACAGAGGAGATCAGAGAAGGGTGAGCGTTCCACTGGGGTCTCGTCTGACGGGAGTCAGAGTGGACTCGAGTCCGTTCTGTTGACCGGCCGGCCAGAAGATTCCCCCCACCGGGGGATGGAGTGGCCCTGCTACCACCTCTTCGTCAAAACTGTAGCCCATCTCTGAGCTGTCCGTATCAGGAGCGCTGCTTGGCCTGGCGTCTAGCAGGCGGCGGGGATTGAACGGACTGTGATCCCTTCCTGCGACCACCTCCTTGGCGCGGCTTGAAGGCTCCTTGAAAGCTGCTGCTGGGGCCGAGCGGGGGTCGCAGGAGGTCGTCCTAGGCAGCGAACAGACTGAGTGGACTGAGCTGGCTAGCCGCTGGGGCAGTATATGCTTAATCACTTCAGTCTGTTTCTGGGCAGCCGAGAACTTTTGGGCGAAGTCCTTGACTGCACTGCCGAATAGGCCTGCCTGGGATATGGGAGAGTTGAGTAAACGAGTCTGCTCAGCATCCCGCATATCAGCCAGGTTAAGCCACAGATGGCGTTCCTGGACCACAGCTGTGGACCTCACCTGACCAAGGGAGCGTGCGGTCACCTTCGTCGTTCGGAGAGCAAGGTCGGTGGAGGCACGCAACTCAAAGAGCCCTTGGTCAGCTCTACCCTCGTGCATTTCCTTGAGCATCCTGGCCTGGTAGACCTGGAGGATAGCCAATCGACTTAATATCTTCCTCTGGAGCCCTGAATGAGATGCGAGACACATCCGAAGACGGCCCCATGGCTTCACCCAAGGAACTCGCGTGTTGCTGCGCTGGTGAGGGCGTTGTGGGCCGAGAAAGCACCACCAGGGCAGTATTCTACACCGTGACCCTCAGATCACCCTGGCCACCAGCCGAAGTACCAGCTCTCGAGGAGTGGGTAGATCGTGCTGTGGCAGAGGGGACTCTACCCTTAGCAAGGTCATGGAGTCTCGATCTCAACGCAGCGATTGTCATGTTCCCACAGTGAGAACATGATTCATCCATGAAAGCTGCCTTAGAGTGTTCTAAGCTCAAACACGCAAGACAGCGATCATGTCCATCAGAGGGAGAAATGGCACGACCGCTCCCAGAAACACACGGGCAAGACGTCTTGAAAAAGTTGTGCACGTGCAAGCTCTTTTGTGAGAGGGCGCTCAGCAGCCTGCAGTGAAGCGGCTAGGGAGAAACACACACGCTGGATGCAGACCACTGCACAAATCAGCATGCAGGAATGTGAATCTCGCTGGAAAATCACCTTTGCACCAACACAAACTGTACCACTTTTTTGCCACTGACTCGTTTTTTAACACTCGAAGGTGATAGGCTTCTAAGCGAAACCCCCATTTCAGGGACAGAAAAGCCTGGCGAAGTGGTTGTGGCCTCCAATCGAAAGACCGAAATACAGGCCGATTGATTGACTGATTGAGTAGTACTCGAGACAAATATAAAAATAAATAAATAAATACAATTTAAATAAAGACATGTCAGAGTGAAACAGTATTGAACAGGGAAGAATCTACATATAAATAAATATAATATTTTTTTATTCTTAATAATTAATTATAATATAAAGATAATGAATACAGATATACAAATTGGCTGATATTACAATGAAAAAAGTAACGTTTAAAAATTAATAAAATTCATTTTGCAATAAAAATATAAATTAGGTGACTTAGATACAGTTTCTTTTAATTTTACCAATAGTCAGACATGAGGAGACAAATTGTGCAGATGTTTCCCAAATGAGGTTTTGTGTATTTGTTTTAGAATTAGATGTTTCCATTTGAATATAGCTTTTGTCAACAGGTTAGGAGTGCTATAAGCATAGAGAATGCAATGAAGATGTCTGCGTGAAGCCCCTACACACTTTAGGTGATGCACACAGACACAGCACATCTGTTAATTCTGCTGTTATAGCAGTGCTTTCAAGGAGGAGTTCTGTAACAGTTCATGAACAGGCACAAGTCAATGGGTATCTATGGGTACGTTTATGGATTGATTGTATAGATGTGGGAGATGTAATGCTATACAGAGCCAAAATGTCAGTACATGAATCAAATGCTCAATGACCTTTTCACTGACAGTAAAAGCAAAGCGAGAACATATCTGGCACATTAGCGCTTAACCTTGTGACTCGATGCTATCCGCTATCCAGCTTATTTTCAAAAAGAGTTACAGACCCGCCCATACTGCTGTACTAGAAAAACATTACACATGTGGGACATCAAACATGCATTTCACAAGCACAAATACATTTTCTTTATGGTCACTCTACATTCTGGGGGCAGAGGTCAATGTACAGGCAGAGGGAGGGATGGACGAACGGAGAGACTCATAACTGAGTCAGTGCAATTCAATCTGGTAAGATGACATGGGGAAAGAGACAACCTTACAACCTAGCACTAAACATAGTGCCTGTAAGCCAGTTGACCAACTCTGATTTCGACGGAAGAGATTGCAGTGGATGTGCATGTAGGTGCACAATTAAACTCTCAAAACTATGACCTACACTGACAGTAAAAGCAAAGCCAGGACATATCTGGAACTTTTTGTGCTAAACCATGTGACCACTGCTGCACTAGAAAAACACAACACATGTGGAGAATCATAGTTGCATCTTATGTGCATAAATGCATTTTGATTACGATTACATGAGATAAGGTAAGATAAACATAAATTAAGCTAGTTTGGGGCCAAATTTGAGTTTGTAGTTATTGATACTTGATGAACTTATTTCCTGTAATTAAAGTAAAAAAAAATAAAATAGTTTACACTACAGTACAGCTTAAAACTAGCTTGCTTAATCTGATTAAAAAATAAATAAATAAAGTCATGGGACACCATTTTTAGCCTGTTTGTAGAAAGTGAAAAATTTAAAGGTCTTATCTGCATCAATCCAGTACCTTGGTCATGGGGTCATGGGACACACATCCCACCTCAGCTACTTATGTAAGAAACTTGCAGTCTGTTAATACCAGACTGTAGCTCAATTACGTCTCTCATT